TAAAAGCATCTCGTAATATTTTAAAAATACTTGTACTTAATCTAATTTTGATAAAAATTATAATATTATGTACTTTCAATCACATACATATTACATTCCGTGAATACTGTTTTTCGTAAATATATCTAAAGACAATGCTGCTCTGGTATTACATCTTAGGCCATGTTTCATATATGTGTGGGTGTGCGTGCGTATGCGTGTGTGTGTGTGTAGTATGTGTGTATATACATATATACTATCCAAATTAAAAATCTATAGCTCAATCGTAATGTATAATGTATATTATAGATTTGTTGTGAATATTGACAGTGTATATTTGAACACGACCTTAATACAGTGTAGCAATCTATGTGTTATGATAATGATTATTATTACATAAAAAAATACAACTCATAATAATATAGATAAACACAAAAAACATCATTTTATATATGTACTTAATTCTTTATTATTATATATTAATATAACTATACAAATAAAATGACGTACTCCTATTTCAAAGTGATAACTAAATAAATTAATAGATTATTTTTCAATTGATAGAGTACATTCATTTTTCAAAATTCTACATGAAAGTGTCATTCTCCTGTTGTTGAGAAAAGAAACTAGTCATTTTCTAATTTAATTAAATATAATGTTTTAAATAAATTAACTAAAGAACATGGTTGATATGTTGCATACAATTGCATTGCAAATATATATAATAATATAATATACAATACACAGCTGTTCATGTAACGTCAACCACAGCATGTAACCTACATCACTTTTTAAGGTGTAACTGGCTGTAAAAGAAAAACAAACAATCTAATATTTAAGAAATGTCATGTATCAAAAAATAAATCTAGAAAGAAATATTTGTCTATTTGTTTTGTGTAATTAAAGTAAAAATAAAAGACATGTGAAAAATTCAACAATATCTTATAATTTAATATAAAATTTATATATTAAATATATATATTCTATATATTCAATATAAATCTATTCGTAATACACAAAGCATGCACACCCGTGTTATTAGGAATGTCAGATACAGATTGGTGTTAATGCTTTTACGATGAGATAACACAATATAATATATTTTGGATTAAACGTACAAACGTTACGGATACTTTCGTTGGCACTGCTGTCGGAAGACCAGCAACTTCTTTTAAGCTTAAACGATCCGGACTAACAGGTCGCGTATCTCGTGCTGCATCTTCCAATTCCTTTTGCATCTTTGCTTGTCTCTTCCTGTAGTATAATGTGAGAAATATATACATTAAGTATATATGATATTCAATAAGCATTCAAAAAAGTTGCAAAGCAACTTAAGCGTATGTAACAACGGTGATATAGTTTGCGATCTCTTTTACACCATTGTTTAATGTAAAAAGATTATATTATGTTATTCGTTATTTGAACGAATATGTCTCATCTCATACAATACATTTTTGTTTTTTTAATATGTGTCTTTCATTCTTCTTGTACATCTAAAAAGTAATTTAAAATAATAGTATTGTTACAGAATGTTCATTTCGCTAAAAAAAATCTCAATATTTTTATGAAAACATTACAGAAAAAAATGTATATTTAAATATAGATTAAAAGATCAAAAATTTTATTATCTTTTCAAGTTTGTTTTCTATGATTATGAGTATTATGAAGTAATTTTTATTATATCTTTTTCATCTTTCATTTGATGCACGAATAATTACAGATAAGAGTTTATATTGTTAACATGTACAATATTTCATTTTTTTTTATACGACAAATATATGAATACATACTATATACATGCTACATAGTTAATGTCACCAACAAATAAAGTACATAAATCATAAAATACAAAGTGCAATATAGTCTGTAGCTTCAAGTTACCATCCCAAAGCTATAATTTAGCATAAGCGAAATGTTCACTGCAATTCATCAAACTTACCCAAATTTTGATAAGGTATGCATCAAAAAGGTTGTTGGGCTGGTAAAACTGAAACGAAAATGTCAAGCAGTGTGAAGTGCTTGTGTAAAGCCCTAGAGTGACTGAATATTGTGTATACTCTGTGGAAAGCTCAAATAGTGAAATGAGTATCATATTGGCTCATCAAAATATTATTAATATGAAACCTATTATTAATATAAATATATAAATTTAATTGTATACAATAATAATCTAAAAAAATTTTGTGTTAAATTTTCCTATAATATAAATTAATTTTTTTAATTAAATAAAGATTTATTATAAAATATAGAATGCATATCACAATAATAAATATATAATTCATATGTATAAAATTTTAAATTTGTAACATGCATTTTTTAGCTGTTTTAATTAATAACAATCTGAATTATATAAGAACAAACTTGAAAAGATTTATACATAGTAAAGCTTAGATCTTAAACTGAAATAAGTTAAACAATTTTAAAATTAAACAAGATTGTATGTACTCTGACAGAAGTAATGTAATAACATCCATTTAGTAAAAAAGTAGAGATTCTATAGGAAAATAGTGTCGAAAGAAAGATAAAGATTTCAGACAGAAGATTATGTTGCAGGTAAACTAAACACCCTTTTATGCAAAACTGTACTACATAAACATATATACAAATACATAAAAATTTAATTAACTAAAGTGCAGAAAAATAGAATAGCCCTTAATAAAAGCTGGATAATTAAGCAGAAATACATTTACTATACTACAAGTACAAGATTATAAACTAGCGCAAAATAATTAGCATGCAGAATAGTTTTCATATTACATACAAAGATAGCCAAGAAATAAAAACACATTCAATCAAAATAATAGCAAAAATAAATACTGCACTGTTTTTAATTTTACAAAAACAATTCTAATTGCAAAAATACTAGCGTAATATGTTAGATTTTAATGCAAATCAGAATTCATTAATTTATACTTTTCGCAAATTATATTATTAATAATATATACAAAAAGGCAATATAAACGATTTTTGTTCAGTTTCTAAATTCACAATATAATATACTTAATATACTTAATATATACACTTACCTTAAAAAGTTATCATTTTCTTCATTCATTTTTTCCGCATCTCTGGCTTTATATTTTATTAAACGCTCAATCAGCTGTCGATTTTCTTCCTATAAATTGAGAAAGTTCAAATAAATATTATATAGTAAATAGGTGATATAAGTAAATATCAATATCTACAAGAAGTAATCTACTCTCCATTACCAATGTACAAAAAAAAATGAGTATATAAATTTCTAACAGGAACAAAATGTTACATAACGTACCTGTGTTTTTCTAAGCTTTTCTTCTAAAGATGCAAAAGCAAGTTGCAAGGCTTGGTGTTCATCCTTGAGCATCTGATTAATGCCTTCTAAATCTTTCTCTCTAGCAAGGCATTTAGTTATTTCTAAACGTAAGTTAGTATTAGCTTCCAAACTTTCTGCAAGACTGAAAAAAACAAATGAATCAATTAGCAAATCTTATAAATTAATGAAAATTTAATTTATAAATTAATACAAATAATTATGGATAAAGATTATGATCATAAATTACCTAGTTTCCTTTCCATGAAGTTCTTTTGTCATTTCCTGCAATTTGTTATTGAGATCTACTATTTGTTGCGTATGTTCTCCTTTCCTTTTATGCAACATTGCCAATTCCTCCGCTTGTTTTAAGAGTCTAGCTTCGAGATCGGGATTTCCACCCATGCCAATACCACCATTGGCTGCTTCGCGACGAAGAGTCTCATTTGCAATTGTCAATTGCATATTCGAATTTCGCAATGTATTTGCATTTTCAAATAATCTATTGTCTGCAAAATATAACAGAAATATAGTCAAATCAATTTATACACTAAAACTAAAGTAAATGACTACAAGCTTAGCAGAACCAACGCAGCTAACAGAATCAATAAACTATTAAGCTAGTCTATGGATACTTTTTACAGAAGATTAAACAGAATAAGCAAATCAGTAAGACATAATCAATAGTGATAATAAAACAATGAATTGTAAATAAAATCAAATAAGACATGGTAAATAACAGCTACTAGAGGGATAGTCCTCTGTGTTCACAGACAAATAATGGATTGATACTTGCATCCAATCGACTTAACTTAATAATAAATCTACAAAAAACTTACGTAGGCTAATGAGATCTGCAAAACAATTGGTTTGCGATCTGTTTCTCTCGCGTAATTGCGAAATCAAATCTTTCCGCCAGTTGATGTCTTCTCGGGCAACACCGAGCGACACGGCTGCTTCGTTTGAGATCATTTCTCTCAGCAGATCCACGTGCACCGTTGAAATAAAAGATCACCAATGATTTAACTTTAATCAGGATCGTTTTAATGAGGAGGTCACGAATAATGTTCTTCGACAGTCCGTCACTCCACGACAGTCCCCTCCGCATGTGGGACGAGTAATTCCATCCGGTAAAGTTACGTTCGATCATCGGCCAGCGTGTAACATCCGAATGTCTCGTGACGATCGCGCGACATCGTCGCCTCAAAGCAAAATACTTTTAATTATGAAAACAGCTATTCTAACCTAAAAGTACCAAACACTATGCTGCTACTTTGAAATTGTTTGCTATCGCTATGCGCATCGATACTGCATTACTGTAGATTGCAATCGACATGCTGCCATATTGCGATATATCGATATGCGCGTAAAATCGATACTCTTTACTTGAAGATTATCGATAACAGTTTTAGAGCCTTGTGTCGAAATCGCCTGTATAATACCGCCAATACATTTATTTTCGATTAGGAACTTACGTAACTACATCCACTATCTGATTCTGTCGATAAAATTGTATCGACATATGTAATTGTTGTTTATGTCTGTACTAAATCCACAGGAGTGTCTATACCTCCTATATGGATGTTGCACGTTTCTATTCATTCTCCTATAAATGTAATAAAGATACAGTCGTTTTTTTCACCATTTAAGAGTTTTATTAAAAGTTTAATTTGCGCGCTGTACGCGCTATTTTATTAATGAGAGAAATTTGTTATCCCTTTTGTGGATCTTTTCTCATTCATCTGAATTTCTCATCTTTGCATACTTTTGAGATGAGACTCAGTAAAGAATCGCTCGAATCGATAACAATATGTATATGGATCTTAGATTCTATTGGATGATAATCGATTCAGTTATTTTCAGTTTATTTTTAAATTAAAGTTTTGCTGATATGATGAAGGCTGCATTTCATTTCACGCATGATGCGCATGATGCATCATTTATCTTTGTTATTCACTAAATGTTGAACAAGGATAAATGATGCATTATATACATTATGCATGAAACGGAATGCACTCAAAGTTTATTTCATAAAATTTAATTAAAATTGCGTAATATTTGCCATCGGGTCTTTTCGAATCGGAACGCTATTAATATAAAGATTTGTTTTTAATGTAGATTTATTTCTAGTCGGTGGTATGTAATTAATATAATTTGATATATATTTTTAATAAACCCAAGTAAAGAATAAACGCGAAATTTGTTCATTTAATTTTAATGGAATTATTTGACAGTTGTTTATTTAATCGATTTTGTTAATATAATTGCCCCTTCGCGACGGCGTTCGCGTTTCGCACATACAAAAACGTAAAATCTTACGCTTATTGCCGGCGACAATTAATCGGCAACAAAAAGGAGTATTTCTCCTTATTGTCGATTTCTGGCATTTGAAATCAAAATATTGGCCAGGAGCAACGAAAGATGGGTTCAGTCTGGCCAGAAGAAAGAAGATAAAGAGGATCTATGCAAGGTAGATTGGTGTGTAACACACTAATCTAAGTGTGTATGTAAGAGATATATGTAAGCCTACAAGATTTCCTTAAATACGGATGGGTGTCGGAGAGACAGAAAGAGATGCTGTCTCGAATTCACAGGATAAAAGCGTACAAACTATCCATGAAGGAATAATCGGCACGCTTCTATCCTGTAGATGTAGTACAAACATGAATCACATTTACTTTTGATGATACGATTTTATTGACAGTGTCAGAAAGTGGATGTAGTCATGTAGTTTCCTGATCGAAAATGGATATATTGGCTGTAATGTAGCCTTATATCTACGATGCTAGATTGGTCGAAGATCTCGGATGAAGAAGTTGACCAATCGCATTGGTCACGTGACCAAATTGTTCAAATGTGATTTGTTTATTCTTTCTCTATCCAAGATCTTGAACCGATTTCTAGCATCGGGCTTTACTTGATACATTCAATATACACATTGCGAATTCAGATATTTTAGAGATTACAAAGAACGATTTTATTTTGAAAAAATAAAAAAAAAGTGTCTTACGTTCGTAAAAAAAGCTTTCTCTTTAAAAAGAAGATTTCAACTTGTATTTTTCTCGAATATACGAAAAGTTAGTCAAGAGGATAAATTTATACTATCTGAAGGCAACTGTAATTTCTATTATCTATAATGTTAACAAAATGTCAGTATAATAAACACGACTGAAAAAGAAATGTAAATCTCTTTTCTAAATTTTGTGTAATTTAGCGTGTACTGTGCAATTTACAAATATAGGCAATAATAAAGTTGACAATTGATGAAGAAGATCCTGTCCTCCATATTTCCTCAAAGTATAAAAAACTATTTATTTGTTGTATTAATAATAAAGAGTTGTGATGCAATTAAAATTTTGTTCGTATTAATAATGAAAAATTATATTATGCACTTATTACGATAAAAATGTATTTTGTGTTAGCAAAAAGTATTTACTAAAATGCGATCATATATAATAGGAATTTACTAATCAAATTAGATAGAAATAGAAATTAGATAGGCTAGATTTCGAAATTGTACAAAATACATAAATTAAAATAATTTTTAGGTGCATTAATATATAAATAAAAGAGAGAGATTTATTATACTAATATAATTAAAATAATATATGTATCACAAGAATTTTGATATAAGGAATCATTGTTAGAGAGAGAGAAACATGTTAGAACAAAATACATAACCAAATTGTTTTTATTTATAAGAAATATGTAAACGTTTATGTAAGTTGCAAAATGAAAAATCAAAACAAAAGTGGCAAAAGAGATTGTAATAATAAATTCATTTTAAATAAAGAACGGAACAGATAATTTTATATAAAATTATAAATATACATATTGCAAATATAATTTTTTTCTTTAAAAATGGAGAATTATACGCATAATGTTAAATTTTGTAATTATCATTATAATTATGTATATAACATCATGTATTTAACAAGAAATTCAAATCAACTACAAATATATAATTCATATAATATTAATATTATAATTTTATAAAATAAAATAATCGATTTTAGGAAAATGTTTAGGAATTGAATAAGCAAATTATGTATAGTAAAAGAAAGAAAAAATTTAGAATGATTAAAAAACGAGTTGCACTCGATGAATATGTCTTTTACTCAATACTTAATACTGATATTCCTATGGAATTAGGAGTGGCAGCAAGTATGGTAAGAATTAATGTAAATAATTATTAAAATATTTTAGTCTCTTAATACCAAATGCAAATATAATAATTTTAAGTGTTTGTTGGGCATTTATTTTTAATATATTATATATGTTTGTTTTTAAATAAATTGTTTAATAATAAGAAATTAATTGAACTTTAATATACATTTAATATTTTTGTAGATAACACGTGGAATACTTTGTCTTTATAACAAATTAGTAATCGATCGAATAAAGAATCCCTATATTGTTCAATGGCATTCCGGGTAATGCAAAGTTTCTGTTTTCTTGTTAATCTAAGTAAATGTTTAATATCAAATTTCTTCAATTTTTTAAATTTAAATCGTATAACATGTTTTCACATGTAAAGTATAAGCATGTAGATGCGAATATAATAACGTATTTTTTTTTATTATGTAGGGAACATATAATTGTTTTGCGGGGATACAACCATAAACATTTGAAATATCTCAAGAATGAAACAAAGTTTGTAGCCCTCGGTACGCATGCCACTTATCATCGATGGTATCACAATCGAATAATGCTAGTATTATCGGTATTTGGACGAAAGGAAGAAATCGAGAATGTCTTTGACAGACTCTCATATTTACGGTAGCGATATAAACAAACAGTATTTCCATAGTTTTTAAATACTTAAAAAAATAAACTATTTTTTTATTTATAATTTTTCCAATGCACACACACACACACACACACACACTAGTTGCGATGTATCGAAAACGATACTTACAGTTAAATTAGAATTAAACAAAATGTCAATATATTTTTACACACACACGAAAATACTTCCAACATTATTATCTCTCGTTTATAATCATATTCTTCCACATCGATAGCTGATACGTGATAGAGAAGAGAATATAATTATTAGCTAAAGCTACGTAAAAATTATATTATTATGCAGTTAAAATAGTTTATATTTAATGGAATTTATATAATCTTACTCGTTCTATTCAAAGAAGTTATATTTTCACGAATATAAAGAGAGAAATTCTTTAAATGAGAAAAGAAAACGATCGAGAATTATACATGTATATGTAAACATAAATTATTTTTACACATAAAAATATTTTTAAAATACTGTTACATCTCATTCATAACATCATACATCATATTCTTCTACATCGATAGTTGATAGAGAAGAGAATATAAAGTATCAACTGTAACTATGTAAAACTGAAGTATATAAAAAAATGATTTAAATTTAGAACGTAATCTTTAATTATTCTATATAAAGGAGTAATTATCACGAATATAAAGAGAGAAATATATTCCTCTGAAATTAAAAGAGAGAACAGCCGGTAGAGAGAGAGAGAGAGAGAGAGAGAGAGAGAGAGAGAGAGAGAGAGAGTATCGATCGTGCCCTCGAAAGGGATAATATCTGACTCGCGGAGGGTCTAGCGAGTATCACCGTCCTGGAAGCGCGTGACGCATACTCGGCGAGCGAGCAATGAAGGAAGTAAAGGACGTGTTAAAGCGCAAAAGGTTGCGAAGCAAAGCAAAAGAGAGGTAGGCGCCACGCCCGCCCCACCATGCTACAGTTCTGATCGTAGCGGGGGTGTCGGGGGGTGAAGGACTGGCAGCGGTCGGCGCAGTCGCCCGCCGCGTTTTATGCAACCAGTCTTGCTTCGGAGCGAGCGAGAATCCACTGCCCCGGCCTTTGACAGACGGGATAACGCGTGCAGTGTCATCGTTATTGTCCGCCGTCTCCTCCGTCCGTGCGTCATACGTACGTTAACGACTTCTCGTAACGTGCGTAACCCGTGCGGCTCTCTGGAGACAAAAGGGGATATCGTATAACACATATCACGTAACCGGACTTGAACGAATCCGGTACCCCACTGTGCTTTTAAGGCAGATCACGACGGTGCCTATCTACGAGCCTGGCGTATAATATCGTATCGCTACCGTCTGTTTTCCTGTGCTGATACTGCCGGCAAGGCAAGGCAAGGCAAAGCGAGGCGAGGCGCGGCGAGGCGGGGCGGGGCGGGGCGAGGAGGCGAGGTGAGGCGAGGCGAGACAAGACGAGGACGAGACGAGGACGAGACGAGAGCGAGAGCAAGAGCGAGAGCGAGCTAAACCTAAGCGAGCAGAGCTGAGCCAAGCTGAACGCGCGACACGAAAGGTGACAAGGCGGGTGTCGACGCGGGTGTGCTCGCCCGATATTGTCTCGTTTCCGCGCAGAGGCAGAGCTGTGCGCCACACGTACGAATCACGATCGGGGCACCCCTGCAGTGGTACAGTGTTGGCTCGTGTCCGCCGACAGAGTGTCAGTGCGACGGCGGTCGGTGGTGTGCTGACACGCGAGTGTATTATCCGCGGCTGTGTGTGCGTGCGTATGTGCGTGACGTGTGCGTAAAGGAGAGAGAGCGACGGGCCGGCGGTGAAGGTGGTGCAAGAGAGAGGGACGGGCACGACAGCGATGCGGCCGTGAATCCTCGATACGTGGCTGCGTTCACGCCGCGTGTACTCCACACGACACGGATACAACGACAACAACGACAACGACGACGAGGACGACGAAGACGTCGACGACGGCGGTGGCAACGGCGACGACGACGGCGACGGCGACGACCACGACGACGACGACGACGACGACGACGTCGATCACATAAACGACGACGACGTTGTTGGTTAGGAAACGACTTCGACCGGAGCGACAGAAAAAGGCGCGTACTTATAAAAGGCGCTCCGAATTGTCACGCATTCACGTAACCGCGACGTATCACCTGACGCGTGCAGGTTCCTAGCTCGGTCGACTCCTTCGACCTCCTCCTCTTCCTCGTCGTCACTATGGCGGACGACGAGGTTCTCTTCGACGATGTTTACGAGCTCTGCGAGATTATCGGCAAGTGAGTAACGAGAATCACATCAGGCAGGGTGAGAATGTGGGAGAGAGAGCGAGAGAGAGAGAGAAAGAGAGAGAGAGAGAGAGAAAGAAAGAGAGCGCAAGAATCTGCAAGTTAGGATGCAAGGAGGTGCTGCGCGAGAGAGAAAGCGCGATGCGATTGGATGAACGGCAGTGGGCGGAGGTTACTTTTGAACGTGTTAGTCGCGTGCATCTTGTACGTGCACGCGTTCTTCCCGCGACTGCGCGAATGTAACCTGCCAAACAGGGAAAATAATGCCCGTATACGCGCACAAAGATCGCATCGCATCGGTGTGACACGGAACGAGAGTGGGTAACGATGTGTAAGATTGGGGAAGGAGATGCGAGAGTAAGTGAGGAAGACGAGTCAGGCGTCGTGTGTGCAAGTACTGCAAGTTCCTTCCGTTTGCCTCCCGTTTCCACCTTCGTCGAATTCCATCCGGTAACCCGACCCATCACGCATGCTTACGGCCCGAATAAAATTTAGCATCATTTTCCTGCTCATTCCTGTGCCTGTGCCGCAAAATAAATAGGTACGCTCTATACTCGTAATTTGTTACCCGTCAATCGATACACCCGAGAATGATGTACCGATATCTCGTTAAGTACTAATGGATTTCGTAAACATCTGTTCCTCACCATGAAATTAAAGTTTTAAAACTCGTACCGACTTGCTTCTGAAAAAAGCATTCTTAAATTCTAGAGAGATAAGGATCAAATGTTTTCTAAATTCTTACACTTTCGAAAGATAAGAATAAAATGGTTTTTAAATTCTAAAAAGATAAGATTCAAATGTGTCTCTAAATAATGTAGATGATTTGTTTTAATAATCTTGACGGGTTCTCGTTATATCTCTTTCAAAATAGAACGGTTTACTCGACATATTGACAACAGCCCATTTGTCTGTCAAGTCTATAAATCGTCGATAAATCGTTATCTGGACCTTTACGTGTTCAAGGTTGATTTTTCCAATTAACTCCAAAATTAATATTACACCTGACTCCGAAAAAAACATGCAGAAGTGTTGAAAAAACATATTTTTTAATAAAAGCGAGCAAGAAAAATAAATGATCGAAAAAGCAAAAATTAAAAGATCTAATAAAAAGTATTTGGAGCTTAAATATTTTGAAAAATCTTGATTTTTATCAAGATTAATATATGATAATATAAATGTCTATCATTTCTGTTCAGGAATCTAAGTTGAAGTTTTAAAAGAAAAGAAAAAGTTTTAAAAAGATTGTATCCCCGAATTGATATAAAAAAAAAATAATAGGAAAATAGCTACAATTTTACAAAAGAATTTTTATTTATTTACGAAAATTTTTCTGAACGATTAATGAATCAAACATAAATACATTATTTACTATTTTTACCAACATATATTAAACATATGTCAAATAAAAATTAAATTTTTTACAAAATAAACAAAATAAATGGCGAAAAAGAGTCAGCGCATAATATATATAATTAAAGATAATAGTCATAGATACATAAAATAAAATAAAAAGTACAACGGCGTATATTAAAATATAAAACAAACAAGTTTCGGCTGCTGGATTGAGCCCTCCTCAGATGTAAAAAGAATATAATATAAAAGATATAAAAGAATACAATAAAAAAAATAATAATAAATCTATAACATTCAGTGACGCAACATTTATAACGCGCGGAAATCAGCGTGATGAATCTCGACGTAGCTTAATGTTGTATATGCGATGGGGCAATCAAACCGATGTTAAGAAACATAGTCAAGTGCTGACTGAAAAACGGAAAAGGAAGGGAACTCATAAGAAAACAAGTAAACTAAAAAACTTAAAAACTTAAAAACTAAACACGCCGCAGATAAGAAGCCAAGTGCTCACTCACCAACGCATCCGAACAGGAAATGAGAATCGCCGCAATGTATGACAAGTGTGAAAACCCATGACAATGATAGGGATGTAATCGTCGAAGTCAGACATGTCAACATCGCACGTGACACCGACCGCTCATTAAATTTTTTAAACAAAAAAATACAGTAACTTCAAAGATACAAAAATGAATTCTTGACGTATTTCTTATTAATGGAAAATTTACACGAAGAAGATTTAATTGAAGCTTCTAATGCATAGTTCTCATATTATGCTGTGTTAGGAACAATCGATTTCGCCGAAATGATTTATTTAATCTGCTGAAAGACTATAGGTTGAAAAGCAGAGATTGCTGTAACAGAAACGCAATTTCGTTTGTATCGGAAGCCAATACTTGATTTATCATTCAATTGGCTAACCTTCATGTCAAAATACTATACGCTACCAGCTGCGACTAAAATATCTGTCGCAAAGGCGTAGGTTATTCGACGATCATCGACTTATAACTCAGATTTATTCTCTGCTCGTCTAAACTATTTATAACTTACAATTATAATGTTGCTATAAATGGTACGCAATTTATTATCTTCATTCGTTTAGTTTTTATATGTGGCATTTTCTACTCATTCGTATTTATTTTTATTTATATGTTACATTTCTTTCTTTTTTATTATTTCGTGATTCTTCAAAATCAGTATGAGATTTGTAGATATTAATCGGATACCTTATAAATATATTGAAGTAAGCATATAGATTAACTATAATACTTCTTGAAATTGCGTAACTTACTACTAATTAACTTTTTTAAATTATTTTATATTTAAATAATTTTATAAAAGTCAATTAGTATTAATAGACTTTTATAAATTATTCAATATTTGAGAGAGAGTGACGTGAAATATCATCCTCTTTCGAAAGAGGAACATTTATATATGCCGCGATTCAATATAATTAAAAAGAGAAAGATAGATAGAGAAATCGTTGGTTAATCGTACATTTTTGCAGAATTAAAAGATCTTTGCCATACTTTTTAGTGCTTTTATCAGCGTAACGTTAGATGCCGAATTTTTGTCTAATTATCTTGGTGTTATCAATATATTCTATTTTAAGTTCTGTCCTTGTATATGCTAATGATAGATTTTCTTATAAACTGAGAATTAACGTATTATTCGGCACGCACTGTTAATAATATTTTTGCTGAAAGCTATTTATGAAGATATAATCAATCATACGATATGTTGTCACACACATCGATGTTATAATTCATTTAAACTCGAAATCCCGTTAAATTAGCATCACATATTCTATCTCCATTATACCCATTGAAGATGCCAAACTCGTTAATTAAACCATGTTTACAAATTGATCGATCGGTAGAAAATGTACAATAAATAGCTAATTTTTTAATATCGATCAGGAAAATATTTATTTTCCGAAAAATGAATAAATTAAGTTTAAAATTATTAAAGCTCATAAATATTAATCAAATACGATAATGATTTGTTTTTGTTGTCAAACAAGTTGGGAATTGATCAACTGCATATAACATTAATTTCTTGCTATTTTCAACTGTGTAATTAAGTAGAAACGCTTTGTCGCGTAACAATTGGTGCAGAAACATTTCAATAGGGACAGTTTGAAGAGATCATCCTGCCATATGCCTACATACATATGCCTACATGTGGATCTCGTCAATTAAATTCAGCATGAGGTTATCGAGAAGTGGCGCATTCTTCGTTCGTTACAGTTAATTGAATTCGCACAGCCGACGCTCTTTTCTGCGTCAATTGAACTTAAATGCCGTAAGCTAGTTGGGACAAATGGTTCTTTAAAAGTCGTTCCTTTCAATCGACTGCTATATAAATTTTGTTCCCTATTTAAAATATTACGAAGTAATACGCCCGGAACGATAATGACATCTTTTATTATTATACATTTTATTATTATATATTTTATTTCGTAGCCATCGAATTTAATTCCTCTAAAGTTCTCAACTTTGCAACTCTTATAATTAAATTTCCACTCAGCTAAATAAATATTTAGTATGTTTCAACTTTTTCGTGAAACGTGACGGGCCCATAAAATACTGTTGTGTACACAACATTTAATTAACCTTTATATTACAGTTGCTGCAAGCTTTGCAATTGAATTTCTAAATTATATGTATTATGCAAATAATGTATATTATTCCTCGTATAAGAGAAAAAATACTTAAAAGTTAAATAAAAATGTACAAATAGCTAAAAAGACGGAGAATAAAATTATTATTAATATTGCACATTTGTTTCTCTATGGATATTACTGGATAATAAATAAGGATCAGTTGTATCGAAAGCTGTTGTGGAAATAGAAATGGAGTTATTGAACAGAAGCCCTCGACACTTTTACCTTGGTGCTCCATCGCTTCGCTGGAGGGCGAAAGCACCGAGAAATCCCCAGAATGCTTCGACGGTTTTAAATCTCGATGTGGACATGTACAAGGCGAGATATACGAGGCGACGCGCTCTGCTTTTACGATTCACGCCCTACTTTTTATTTGTTCGCAAACTCCCGAAAGGCCCTACGTGTGTTTGCGTTCTTTAAAAGGTAGAATAAACTCTTACCGTGATATTTGTCCTTGAACTTAATTATGCAAATCTAATTTTTAAAATAATTCAAAAAAGGAAATGGCATTTATATCACATATTAAAAAAAAATACATTAACGAATATTGAAATATGCTTTTATAGAGATTTAAAATAAATGAGAATTTATTTTTTTTTTGTTTTAATTTATTTGCTGCACATTTGGTATTTTACTTTTATGTGTTTGATTTTTACTTTGATATTTAAAAGTGTTTGCCTTTATTTAGTATTGAAATATCGTATTTTATTTTAATGTATAACAGAAGTTGTTCTAATAAACAAATGTGTCATTCGATTCATCTTGAAATACATTTTTTTTATTTTATAGAGTACGTTCTATATATATATTTTTTTTGTTATAATAATATTGGATATTTAAGTTAGAGTTTAAAACATTTTTATTATCACAAGTTTGCTTTGAGATATAATAATAAAAGGTAACGATTTTTTTATACATTATTTATTCATCGTAAAGATATATTATGAGATAGTAATTTTCTGTGATTATT